ATAATTATATTATACATATTATATATATATAATTATATATAATGTATTTATATGATATAATTGAACCCACAAGTATATATATAATGCATGTGTATACATTTTTATTTCTGAAACATAAGAGTGCTGAGATCATGTTTTATACAAAAATGTGGATTTATTTTAGACTTTTTATTGATGTTTCAGAGAACATACTTCTTTATAATTCATTCCATGACTTTATATTAATTAAATGTGATTGTGTTCAGTTGTTTAAACCTTGACATAAAAAATATTTGTGTCAGCATTCTTTCTTAATGATGTAAGCAGAACTGAAAAATAGAGCAACATGATCCAGCAACTATAATTTACTATTAAACTGCTTTGCATTATTAAAGATAGCAGCCTCCAAAGCTGCATACATCTCTAACTCTTAAATAATTTAAGCCTCACATTTGAAATATATTTTATTGAATGTCTTTTCTTATATCGGATATGACTTTTAATCTTACTACACTCATCCTTTAGCATTTTGCAAATGAAACATGTATTAGAGATCTGGGAAGATGAATCCCTTTGGCACTGTGAAGCTCCTAAGTGGTGCACCCAAGCTGTTTTTGAGGTCACAGAACAGAACACCTCCTCACGGAGATTGTTTTGTTGCTTACTCTGTTCCTAGTGTCTTAGAATTCTCAGTCTTGAGAGTTTAGAGGTGAAATCTCAACTTATGTAATGCTGTTTATGGTGTTTATTAGGAAAATAAATTGTGCCAAAGATTACTTCAAGATGTAGTATTAGTACAGGAAATAATTCATAAATTCTTAATAAAATTGGGTTATCTTTTAAGAATCACAGACAATTACTTATTTTCAAAAATGGATAAGCATTGTCCAGGGAGCAAAGGAGTAACTTCATTATTGCCTGCATTCATCCAGATCAATTAGAATGGGAAGCACATGCTAAATAGCAAATGACAGACTTTCTTTGTTTAGTCAGCCCAGAAAACAAGATTTAAATGAAGGACTACTGGGTAGTTTCTCTCACATCCAGGGAGTGGTGTTATTGACTAGTTTTGCCAGCTTTGTAACACATTTGTTTTTTTTTCCCCTTGAGTTTCCTTTCTTTCTGTCATTGATTTGTAAGCAACTTATGACCAAAACCCTTTCAGCGGATCAGCCGGTGTCCCTCCACACAAAAGCAGGATTTTTAAGGATGTAGATGCAGTAAATATTGATGATACAAGGTCACTGATTCAGACAGAAATATGAAATTCTCAGGAATAGAATCCATGACTCCACTCCCTCTACTTCTTGCCAGTCTTGGGAGGTGCAGAAAATTTAATATCTCAGTGCTGTGGAATGAGTATAAAATGAAGAGATGAAAAGGTTGCCCTGGGATCTTCCGTGAGCTAGATAAGTGACTTTGCTTATCTGTAAAGTGAGGTAGCTGGAACTGTTGATTTTTAAATTATTTTCTAGTTTTAAGACTTGTTCTGTCTTCAAGAAGGATGCAAGAATTTCCTGATAGCAATTCCCTGTGCCAGATAATGTCTATATGCTACCCCTAAAATGCAGGACTTGAGTCTCTCAGGTGAATGTTTTATCATATCCACTGAATTGCTTTCTTACCACCTATATTTTTAGTGATAGGAGATGATGCTTCATAGCTCTGAAGTTATTTAGGTTTGTTTTGTTGTTTTGCTTCATTTTATCAATATGGTATGATTTTCCTTTTTGCTTTTCACCTTTACCAACTGTCAGTAGTAAAATTACTAACAGTGGTGGGAATAAAAAGTCTTGATGATTGTGTTCATGCCTTATGGAGTGTAAACATGCTCAACTGACATAGGGTACTTTTAGGCTAATGCACCTGTGTCTTTTGTCACTGTCAGAGTTACTAGGCACATGAGTATGTGAAGTGGGAACATAGGATGCCTTGACATAGTGTATTGTTACACAAAACAATTGACATTAACATTAAATGCTTATAATAACACGAATGGTGTCCTGTGCTTTTATTTTTCTCTAAGTCATCTATTTTTTATTTCTTTTGCAGATTATCCTTAATGGTTAAATAAGAAAACATTTTGCTCGACTATAAAGGTAGGGAAAATCCTTTCTGATTACAAATTATTAACTGTTTCAAAAATATACTTTCCTCATTAGATATAGATAGAATGGATGTTGTCTGCTGCAGGTGGAGTGTGTCTTATCTCCATGTAATTGTCACCCTTAAATTCATCCAACTCTTACTATTTGTCAGATTGAAATTTTCCAGTTCTTGATTTGTTTCACTGTGCACATTATTCTCCTTAAATATAGACATTTCTTGCATTACTTTCTACATTATTTTATGATAACTTGACACACTATATACTTTCCATATACATGGAAGGAATTTAATATATGTATATATATATAGATATATATTTATACCACAATACACATATATACATATATAATTACAACTGTGGTTATCTCACGAATAATAATTTTACATTTGTCTTCTTATTCTATACCTCAGCATTTTAAGGAAATGACTACATACAACTAGCTGTGAATAATTTAGCAATGTAAATGTTAATTTGGAGGGATTTTCTTCAGCGTTTTCTTTACTTAAAAGTACTGAAAATATAGTCCTTTCCTTGTTTAGGGTGTACGTGACCATAAATCTAGAATTTCTAGTTGAGTAAATACTTCTCTGATAATAACTTAATTATAGCTATTTCAAACCAAATTGGTTAATTGTAGTGAATCATATGCAGATTGCTCAGATGTAGGTCAACCCCCACTCCCACATTCTAGCACCTCTTTTCTAATTCAGGACAGATTGTTCCATGCCTAAAAGAGCAGATGAGTACAGATTAGTGCCCTGAGACAAAAATGAAACAATAACATAAAAGCCAACAGAAGTGCCTTTCTGGAGTCAATGTCCCATAAAGATGAGAAGCTAGGGTGCATTTATTTAGACCTGGGTTAATGATTTCTTAGACTTGCTGTGTAGTCACAGAGGTTCCCTCACTTCACAGGAGGTTTGTGGCCAACAAATCATGACCTCTAGGATGCTGTTTCCTCATCTGTAAAGTACAGATGGTAGTATCATCCTTGGCAGCTCAATGCCTTGAACTGACAGGAAGATCAAGTTGAAACAAAAAGAGATTGAGGATACTGTAAGATGGCTCCTAGAAGAAGGTGCCAGTTTTGGTGCTTTGAATGAATGATAGAGGAATTGAGCTCAGAAAAGCATGAGCAGTTCTTGATAAGGTCACCTGAGGATTGATCTCAAAATACCATGTGCAGCTCATGGTGAGGATATCTGAGATGCAGTGGCAAAAGTCTCAGATCTCTTTTCTGGTTTTAGCTCTTTTATTGAAGTTCTGGTCTACAGATGCCTCTGTGAAGAAGCAGTGTATTACTTTCTAATGAATGGCCAAGGTTTCATGATTCCATTTATACTTTATATGTGTTCTTACCTCTACTTTCTAAGAAAGTATTTTATATCTGGTAATAAGTGCATTGATAAATGTTAATCAGGTTACAGATATTTGTTATACTTATTTGTTTTCATATTTACATGGTATTGATGATCTTTTTGTATATTGACAAAAATCAGCCTTGTTGCATATTGATAAAAATGACTTTTAGGTGTTAATTCTAATAAAATTATAATTCTGCATTGATATAAATTTAATTATAAATTCAATGGAATTTGATTTTCCAGAATTTGAACTTGGGGTAAGACTTGAAGCTCTCAGTAGCTGAGTACTTCCCTAGCACTCAAAAGATTCTGAGTTTCATTCCAGCACTAAAAAAAAATTATTTATGCCTTTACATAATTTGTCATCATTGAGATTTTCTAAATATCATCATTTTATAAACTTCTTCAGAATAGCAGCAATATAGAAAAAACAAAATTCTTTATGTTAATTCTGTTAGTAGAAAGGTATTATTTTTAGTAGTTTGTATGATGCTACTGAATTGTTTTTCAATAATTAAACTATTTCTGCACTTCTTAGAATGGGAAAATAGATGATACATTTCTACTATAAACATCTTTGTTGTATGCATTATTTAAAATATAAAATATAGATTGGTGATGTTAAATAAGAAGTGAGATTTCCCTCACCCTCAAAGTGATTAAATTTGATTCTTTCAGATTCTTCTTATTATTACTAAATGTACACAGTACTTTCATGCTATCTGAATTATTTTGATCCATCTACATCAGCATATTTTCCATTTCCTCTTTATTAATGGCTGCACATTAGATGTTCTTAGGGTGTGTCATAATTTATTTAGTAGATCCTCTATAAACACTGTTTTTAAATAGAACTTTAAAAAAGAGCAGAAAGAGGCCTTCCTTAATTATACTTCTGGCAGACATACAAAAGAATAATCCCCATCTGTATATTGAATTGAGACATTAAGGAATGAAAAAAAGTATTACAGTAAAAAGACTTTTCCAGTCACTTTTCTGTTGCGATGATAAAATGCTAACCAAAACCAATATGGGGAAGAAAAGGGTTTATTTTGCTCAGGGCAGGAATCTGGAAGCAGGACCTGAATCGAAAACCATAGTGAATATTGCTTACTGGCTTGCTCCCCCTGTTTACTCAGCTACGTTTCTTAAATAGTCCAGGCCTGCCCACTTGCCCATGCTAGGCACCAATTAATAATCAAGAAAGTACCCCATAGATAGAGGAAATCTTTCAACTAGATTCTTTTCTCTGAGGTGTGTCTAGTTTGTCAAATTGGCAGAAACTAACCAGCACAGAGGCACAGTACCAGTTAACTTCAACTGGTTAACTAATGACTAGCAGTGCTAAAAGGAAAGAAGAGTTAGTGATACAGATGATCATACAAGCATGCTATACATAATAAGATCAAAACTCTACCAAATTCCTCAAGATTTACCACCAAATTACATCTCTTTCCATAAGCGTTCAGATATTCTTCTTTTTCTCTGTGGTTTCTATTTGTCATACATCTCCACAGTATTTCAGGAAAAATATAACTTCTCAGATTATATTGCATATAAAAATTCATTTGTATGTATCTTTTGTCCACAGTAGGCTGTTAGCCCCTGAAGGGTAATGACTGTGTATTATTCATCTTTGAAGTTAATAGATGCAGAATAAATATTCATTCAATTAAATTGGATTGAAATGTGAGAAAAGGGAGTAATCAAGTAAAACTGTTAAATCATACAAGCATTTTATAAGTTTCCACTACTTGCCATTCTCTTATCCCTAGAGTAAATCATAATTTTCTGATGGATTAGGCACAAATAGCATAAACATATGGCTTTAGATGTACAATGGAACTTATTTACATTGAATTTTAATGGTTCTTTGTGGCATTCAGGCACAAATTATATTTTGAAACCATACATAGTAGTCAAGTATTTGAGAAAACATTTGTGATATGAAAAATTATTTATATAGTGTTAAACTTGGGTGTGCATTACTTATGTGGATTTAGAATTGCTGTCACTGTTCATGCGTTGTATATAAATGATGCCTTTTATTGTTAATACTATAAGAAAATAGGCTTTGTGGATTTAAATATTAATATATAATTACAAAACTGATATTTGAAAGAAGCAATTAATTCTTTGTATGAAACCTGTTAGAAGGAGGTTTTGCTTTGAGTATGTTGTGTGATATAAACTGGTATTCACACCATTGAAATCTTTGATATTATCTCAAACAACAAAGGTAGTTTTCACTAATTTGAATTGTGCTTGAAAGAACCTCAGATTCCCTAGTCCGCATTCAGTGGTAATGTGAATTTAAAATATGCTGAATAGATGTACTAATTTCAGTTTCCTTTGGGAGAAATTAAAAATTAGGATGCATTAAAAAGCTTTAGAAACTGAAAGAATTGGGTTTAAAACCTACTGTTTCCGGTGTGTACCTTGGCAGTTTCTTTAAGATTTCTCATCCTTTCATTGTCCTCTGTTTGGCTGGAATTATGAGTGAAGTGCCTCTATGGCCTGCGAATACCACAAACATGAGTATATCAGGAGAAACAGTTGTGAGGGATGCATACTATTCTAGGGAAGGTTACAGTAATTGCAACAAATAAGGAGACTCACAAGTTAAGTTTATACCTTAACTTCAGAAGCCAGAAAACCATCAAGTATGGAGCAGACTGAACCAAGTAAACTAGGAGGTGTTGTTGAACATATCATCATGTTCTTTACATATTGTTTTTGACACATTTTTGTGACTGACAACTTAGAAACATGGAGACATTTATAATTATAGGGTAAAATACATTTTTGCTGAGCCATTTATGAGTTCAAATACCCATCACTTTCAACTGTTTAAGATGAATCTCCTACAAATAAGGTCATTTCATCATTTTCATATAAAATCAATGATATCAGATGCTGTAGGCTGAATTCAATGCCCTGCTTTGAAATTCATGTATGGAAGCCCTCACTCCTGAAGGTGAACCCTTTTGGTACTAGGTTTAGATGATATCATGCGGATGGAGCTCTAATGATGAGATTAGTGCCTTATAAGAAGACACACCAGACAAGAAGCATCATCACTCCTACACATGGGAGAACACAGAAGACCATTATTTGCCTGTCAAGAACATGGGAAGCTGATCTGATGGTTTCTTAATCCAAAATACCATGAAATAAATTCCTATTTCCCAACCACCTGCTTTTGGTATCATGTTATATGACTGTCTTTTGACTCCCTATCACATGGATACATTATTACCAGCTGATCCTCACATTCTGTTCAAATATTGTCAGTTGTCCAAAGAAGTTCCCACTAATGAACTTTAGAATGTAAGAATCTGTTTCCAAATGAAATACCATATCCAGCATCGTGTTTCATTTTTTCCATTAGTATAGAAAAAAATTCCACCTATTTTTCTTGACCTTGTGAGTTTAATATTTTTAGGATTCTATGCCAGCTGTTTTGCAGAGTGGACTTATTTGAGTCTGATGCAAGAGCTATATTTGATATAAATGTAAATAGCAGTATATTATATACTAGTGTGGACAAGAGTGGCTGACATAGACATGATGGTCAATAAATGTGAACTGAGGAACCAGGTAGTGATTGCCAGTGTCTGTTGTG